TTCTTTCTTTCTTTCTTTCTATCTTTCTTTCTTTCTTTCTTTCTTTTCTTCCTTCCTTCCTTCCTTTATTTGATTTGTCAATCGCTTACAAGATAATAGGTATAAGTATAAACATGAGTAAGAATACAGGAACTATGTTTGAATCAATGGGGACAATAGGACAGGGACGGTAGGCATGTTGGTGCGCTTATGCACGCCCCTTACAGACCTCTTAGGAAAGGGGTGAGGCCAATGGTGGATAGTTTAAGGTTAAAGGGGTGGGGGTTAGTTAGAGGATGTAACAACAGAGTCAGGGAGGGCATTCCAGGCCTTGACCGCTCTGTTGCTGAAGTCGTACTTCCTGCAATCCGAGTTTCCAGTCGGGGTTCCACTGCACCAGATTTAGGAGTTCAATCCTCACGTTTGGAACAGATTCTCCTGCTCGAGCAGGGGGTTGGACTAGATGACCTCCAAAGGTCCCTTCCAACTCTTGTCATTCTATGAGAAGATTATTTAAGTCTTCATTTCCCTGCCCCCCCGCCCACACACACACTTTTAGAGCTGCTTTCCGAAGCCTCTGAGGTTCTTTTATTTATTTATTAGTGTATATGCTCTTTTACCTGGTAGTTGCACTCTGGATCAAGGCAGTGGTAATGCTCCCGATACTGGTATGCGCAGTGGATGTGCCCGCAGTGCTGGCTGCCGGAAAACCTGGGCATAGGAAGAAGGAAGAGAGGAGGTTACGTAGGTCGGAAATAAAACGGGCCACGGCTTCCTCTTCCCCACCCATCCCCTCCGTTGGACATCTGTCCGTTTCAAAGCAGCTTGGACAAGAGCTGGAATCGCGGTTTTGGGCTCAGAGGAATTGACACGAAACGGCAACTGACTCCACCGAGTGGTTGCAATCTCCAGGCGTAGCCTTCCCATGCCAGGAGGGGCAGAGGGCAACCCCCCCCCCCTGCATTTCTCACCTCCTTATGGACCAAAGGTACAAGGTACAGAGGGGGGCTGTGATGGCCAACAAAGCCACTTGGGTCGACACGCAAGCTGCAGGCAAACTTACCTCACTGCGCATGCGCACGCCTCCTAGCTGATTTTCAGCGGGTTTGAGGCCTTTTTTCGGCCTCCCAGTGGCTTGAGGAAGGCCTCTGAAGGCTGAAAAATAGGCCCGTTTTCGTCACTTCCTGTATTTCCGGAAATACCGGAAGTGACGAAAACGGGCCTATTTTTCGTCCTTAAAGCCTGCAGAGGCCTTCCTCAGGCCTCAAACCAGCCAAAAATCAGCTGGGAGGCATAGTGCAGGTAAGCGGGTGGTGGTGGGGAATTGCGCACGCATGCGCAGGGAGTGGGGGGGGGGCGTGCATTGCCTTCTGGGTGCTGGCATGCAAGCGTGCGCGGAGTTTTTGGCACAGAAGCCCCAAAAGGTTAGTCACCACTGGATTAGGGGAAATCTGGCTCGAAAACAGTAACTGGGAGAGGGACTCCTAATGGATGATCCCTTAAATATGAGCCAGCCGTGTGCAGCAGCAGCTCCAAAAGCTACTACTAGAGCAGGAAGTCTTCAAACTTGACAGCTTTTAAGACTTGTGGACTTCGACTCCCAGAATTCCTCCTCCAGTCATGTTAGCTCAGGGGTTCTGGGAGTTGAAGTCCACACGTCTTAAACTTGCCAAGTTTGAAGACCCTTGAAAGTAGAGGCACAGCCTCAAAATCACGTAAAGTCATGAGTACCGCTTTAGTAAAGCCTTAGTAAGGCCACACCTGGAATGCTGCATCCGGTTTTGGTCCCCATGGCTGAATTTCTACGTGGACTTGCGGTGGGGTGGGGGAAACAGCCTTGGTGGGGCCACTCAGTTTTATGTCCTCTCCACAGCTCCAAGGTATTATTGACCCCAAAGATCCCCCTGAGATGCCGAGAGGAAGAATCCTCAAAATACAAAGCTGCAGTTCAGAAGAACTTGCCCAACCTTATCTTCGTGGTGACTTCAGCCTCGAATTGGATTTTCAAATCATGAAGAATCATGAGGGACAGGACCTGCCTTTTTCTTAATCAACCCTGACTAAATCTCCAGATGTCCAGGAGACTGGATTTTCTAGAATCCCTCCTGGGGGGATAGTACTTTTTTTGATCAAATGTACCTGCAGCATGAAACAACGCCTGGTAACCTGTGCTAGAGCCCCACTGAGAAGCAGAGTAAGGTTTCAATCAGAATCAGAATAGAGCTGGGAAGGACCTTGGAGATCATCTAGTCCAACCCCTTGCTCATGAAGGAGACCCTACAGTACCATGTCGGATCAATGAATGTCTAGTTTCTTCTTAAAAACCTCCAGTGATAGAGCGGCCACAACTTCTGGTGGCAAGCTGTTCCATTGGTTAATAGTCCTCCCTGTTAGGAAGTTTCTGTTTCATTCCAACAAGCTTCTCTCCTTGGTTAGTTTCCATCTGTTGCTTCTTGTCCTGCCTTCTGGTGCTTTGGAAAATAGGTTGACCCCCCTCTTCTTTGGGGCAGCTAAATAGGAGCCAGCAGTGTGCAGCCGCCGCCAAAAAAAGCTAATGCAACCCTAAGTTGCATTAACAGAGGGATACAATCAAGATCAAGGGAGGTACTAATACCACTCTGTAAAGCCTTAGTAAGGGCACACCTAGAGTCCTGCATCGAGTTTTGGTCACCACATTATAAAAAAAGATGCTGAGACTCTGGAAAGAGTGCAGAGAAGAGCAACTAAGATGATTAGAGGACCGGAGGCTAAAACATACGAAGAATGGTTGCAGGAACTGGGCCTGGCTAGTCTAGGGAAGAGAAGGACCAGGGGAGACAGGAGAGCATCTTCCAAGATTTCAGGGGCTGCCACAGAGAGGAGGGGGTTCAAGTTACTTTCTAAAGCACCCAAAGGCCAGACAAGGAACAATGGATGGAAACTGACCAAGGAGAGATTCAACCTGGAAATAAGGAGAAACGTTCTGACAGTGAGAACAATCAACCCATGGAACAGAAGTTGCCTTTGGAAGTTGTAGAAGCTTCATCCCTGGAGACTTTCAAGAAGAGACTGGACTGCCATTTGTCAGAAATGGTGTAGGGTCTCCCGCTTGGGCCGGGGGGTGGACTAGATGACTTACAACGTCCCTTCCAACTCTGATTATCCGTTATTTGTTAGCCCTTCAAATATTGGAAGACTGCTGTCATGTCACCCCTAGTCTTCTCTAGATTAGCCTTTAGATTAATCTTCACTTTTTGTTGGCCAGTTTAAGTCCAACAAAGAGAGAAGAAGAGGAAGAAGGGAGTATGTTAAGAAGATCTGACTGGACCAAAGAATGCCACCGGTCATAAATCTGAGACAATTGTCAAGCATCTGAATGGGAATCATATGATGTCATAAGTATAGGGCCGTTATAACTTCAGAAGGTCGCTAAACGAACCATTGTTAAGTCGAGGACTTTCTGCCCAGGTTTGACAAGCCAACCTTCCAAAAAAGGGAAAGGAATGAAAAAAGCAGGTGGGCAGGTAGCATAGCTGCAAAAAAAAAAAAACCTTATAAAGTTTCACCTACGGCATTTGCAAATAGCGCAGGAAGAGATGTCCACCTGCCGTCCGAGAGAGAGAAAGAGAGAGAGGGGGAGGGGAAAAAAAGGAGGAGATATCTGGAGCAAAAAGGGGGGGGGAGAGAAGGAAGGAAGGAAGGGATAAGAGATAAAAACAGACCTTTTGTGATGACCCAGGGTGGGATACAAAACAAACACAGTCACAAAAAACAGGGGAAGTCCCTTTTATTCCTTCACTTTGCTTCCAAGCTCTGAATATCTTTGACGGAAGACCCAAAAAACTCCCACACAAACAGTTACACGAAGAAGGAAAAAAGCAACACGAACCAGACAAGATAAGGGCTGGAGGATGTCCACAGATAACACACACTGGTAAGGACGCCAAACTCAAGAGAGGAACTATAAACTAGAGATATTTACAGGCTTTATTTCCAGCGTTCGCCAGTACGCAGGTCCATCCTCTTATTCAGTTGTCACAGCTGCAGCCCATGAAGAGGATCAAGGCCCTCTCCTCCCCCATAGACCACGTCTCTCCCTTATCCTCTCCTCCCTGCGTGCCCTAGGATGGAGAGGGGACTGGCCTGGGTCCTCCTCTGTCTGCCCTTCCCCAGCCTCCTCCACAACCTCCGGAGCCACACTTCCACTCCCTGTCGGGCTGTTCCTCCTTTCCTTCAAGAGTCAGTTTCCACCAGGGGGGCAGGACACCTTTTGGAAAAAAAGACAGGATCCCCAAAAGCGCGTAAGAGGATGCGGAGGTGGGCAGAGGAGGTCGCTTCCCTGCTTTATGCCTTTTGAAAAAAAGCACAGCAATCCAGGGGGGGCTGGAAGGGACCTCTGAGGCCATCTAGTCCGACACCCCCCTCCCCGGCTCCAGCAGGAGAACTTTTGTCATCGGGGGTCCATTTGGGGCCTCTAACAGAAAGAAACATTCCCAGGAAAAGGGGAGGGGTTTCCTAGGACAAGGCTGCCGTGCGGAGGAAGGCAGAGAATAGTCCTCGACTTACGGCCACGATGGGAACCCCAAAATTTGGGGTTGCTAAACAAGAGAGCGCTGTTAAAAGTGAGCTTTCGATGCCTTGTAAACTCAACTCATCCTCCCAAGTGGACGTGAAATCGCTTTTTGCCCTCCCCTCTCCTCCCCTCCTCCCCATGTGGCAGAGTGGAGACAGTGGATGCTTGGACTATGTCACATCAAGGGTGTGTGTGTGTGTGTGTGTGTGTGTGTGTAGGGCAGGCCTCCAGCTCTGGGGGTTAGGGAACCTTCCCCCCCTCCTCCCGCCCCCCCTCCCCCTTCTCCAGTTAATAGATTCCTGGAGGGCTACCTCCCTCTCTCTCTCTCTCTCTCTCCTTGGCTTCGCCCGACACTTGAAACAGTTCAAGTTATTAATTTTTAAAGGGCAGCATCTGCTGAGCTTTGGAAAGCGGGAAGCTTGGCACAGACGGGGCACGCTTGCTGACGCCATGCGCAAGAGGCGCACACCTGCTGGCCGCCCTCCCCCTCCCCACACACCCCCCACCGGTCCCAATTCCCCATGCGCCTTTTCATCCGTGCCAAACCACCCTGGCTTGCTGTGTTTGGGGACCCGGCTTCTGCTTCAAAGGTTAGCGGGTGAGCGACGTTTGGCAGGGAACTGACATGAGAGGTTCCGCTCCAGGAAAGATCCCCACCTGGGGGACGGCCAGGGGATCAAGAAGATCTTCTTCCAAAAGATTTTCTTCCTATATAGCGGGGCTTCTCCAAACTGGGCGGCCTTTAAGCCTTGAGGACTTCGACGCCCAGAATTCCTCAGTCATGGCTAGGAGGAACATATATTTCCCACACAGGGTTGAAACGGGTAGGGCAGTGGTGGCTAACCTTTCTGGACTCCTGTGCCAAAAATTGTGCGCACGCTTACGCTTGCGTCCCAGCCCGCCCGAAACATAGGCCCGTTTTGTCACTTCCAGTATTTCCAGAAATACAGGAAGTGACAAAACAGGCCTATTTTTCATCCTGCAAAGCCTGCAGAGGCCTTCCTCAAGCCTCTGGGAGGCAGAAAAGGGCCTCAAACCGGCCAAAAATCAGCTGGTAGTCACACACATGCACAGTGAGGTAAGTTTGCCTGCAGCTCATGTGCCGGCACAAATGGCTCTGCGTGCCACCTGTGGCACACATACCATAGGTTCACCATCA